TAGAACTCTTAATATTGTTATATGATGACTTGCGATTGAGTGCTGGCAATTCGGTTTTGGGCAGTGGAGGGGTTGATGTCTCCCTAGAACTCTTAATATTGCTATTTGATGGCTTGCGATTGAGTGCTGGCAATTCGGTTTTGGGCAGTGGAGGGGTTGATGTCTCCCTAGAACTCTTAATATTGTTATATGATGACTTGCGATTGAGTGCTGGCAATTCGGTTTTGGGCAGTGGAGGGGTTGATATCTCCCTAGAACTCTTAATATTGTTATATGATGACTTGCGATTGAGTGCTGGCAATTCGATTTTGGGCAGTGGAGGGGTTGATATCTCCCTAGAGCTTTTAAGATTGCTATATGATTTTTTACGATTAGACGCTGAAGGTGCTGGCGTTTCCATAGGATCTTTGTTATTGCCACGTGACGATTTACGATTGAGCGCTGATAATGGAGGTGTTGATGTTTCTCTGGAACCTTTAGAGTCATCATATAATAAATTATGCTCATTTGATGGTAGAGGAGTTTGAGCTTCAATAATTGTACGATCATGTATTGGATTAAATTCAGTGGGAGGTGATATTGGATTTGCGTTAGTCAGGATATTGTGGTTAACACTCGCGACGGTGTGATCGTTCGTGGATAGCGAATGTTCATCACTTCCAGATTCTTTAAATGAAGATTTCCTTGAAAGGGTTCCTGAACTTGAGTTTTTTCGCGAAAGTTGAGAATTCCTGACAAAAATACTAATAGTTCTTCTTGCTAGAATGAGAATTATAATGTTGATCAGAAAAATTTCCATTGTTTTTTTTTGAAAAAAAAAAAAAAAGATAACACACGATTATTAGCAAACTCTATGATTTTTGACAATTCTTTCAACCAAATAAGCTTGGTCTCTGCATCAGTCGGGAATAATATCAAGCTCTCCCTATTCAAGAGAGTTATCTCCACCATTTCTAAAATTCAATTAAATAACAAAGTTATTGGTAGGATCAATATCAAGCTAAGAATGACCATGACAGCGTTAACAGATTCTACCTCCTTCTCTGCTAATATCAGTAATTGTCAAATGTCTCCCACTCAACGGTGGGTACAACAAGTAGAATTCGAGATCAGAATTTTCTCGTTTTGCCTCTGGTTCAATTTTCTGGCAAATCAATAGAAGATCGGTTAACAGGAACACATGTGCGTTGATATAAGCTCTGCCATTGCTTTCGGTCTCTTGAATTTTCGGAACCTCCATCACAAAATCAGAATATAAAACTATCTTTCGATCGAATGGTAAATTTGGTGGCAGCAAAGAGACGCTCATTTTCTTTTAAGTAAGAGAAAATATTGAAAAGTGTAAGTACACGATTTTCCTAGAAATAAATTATTTTGACATTACCTTAACCTGCTTAGAAATCAAATCCATCACTCGAGAATAGTCGATGCATTTTTCCAGTTCTGATAAAGTCCAACCTTTTGTGAATGCATCAGCATCCGGATATTTTATAGAATTATTTTGATCACGTCGACTTTCTTGTTTCGTGTTGTGGCTTTGATATTGATCAGTTTCATCAAAGATTTTAGAAATAATCATATCCGTCACTGAGCGTGGTTCCTTCTTCGCCTCCGGTGAAATATTTTCATAGTCCCCGAGTGATTCCAATTCCAATTGTTGATTATTTCGAGGGATGGATGTGCTAGCCATCGAGGTTTTTAACGGTGAAGAATTCCGCGCAGATATATCCGTTAACACTCGAGTCTCCTCACTTGGAATTGATGATCTTGCTTGCTTCTCCAGATCGATCAACGCGTCAATCCGATTATTCACGGTTGATAATACGCTATTATCTGAACGTCCGGGTTCAGTGATATTAAGCATGCGCTAATTGATTCCGACAATGTATTGGTAAATTTGTTGATGACAAGAAGATGTGATACCGCTTATAATGTTGAAATTACTCACTGAATACAATTTTTTGTAATAATGAATTCTTTTCATCGGCATATCGATGAAGAAATCTAATGAAACCGGAATATTCATTTCTGCCGAGATGTCCTGTTAATAAGATAATTTTTTTTTAAAAAAAAAAAAGTTTTGATCTTCGAGATTCCCATAAAAAGATAAAATGATTAATTACGCTAAGTGCTTGTTGTAATGCTATGTTTCTTTCAACCTCTGGTAAACTGTCAACACCTTGTTGAAATTTTAGACAATATTTTGTGTACGGTCCTTCCATTTCATCTATCTAAGTGGACAAAAAATGTTTATAATGGAGAAAAAATCAGAATTGCGTGACGAAAAAATTTCGAATTTACACATACCCAATTAATTAGTGTGTCGCCAAGTTCTTTGGCTGATTTTTTGTCGCCACCAAGTATTGTAAGCCTCTGGAGATAGCACAAGAGTGTGATTTATTAACTGAAAATGAAGAAATTCGATCACAATAGAAAAAAAATAATAGACGATTAATGCATACTGAATAGAAGTTTTGGTTTTGCTTGTAAACTTCCTCTACACATCGAAACAAAGCCTTTAAC